TCAGCGGTTAATATAGGTGAACGCGATGATCCTTCTCCATCATCAAGTCTCATCCTGAAAGTCCTATCACGCCGCTTAATTGTTTTGGCATACCCTCCAACACCATACACCCTTCCATTTTTCCTCTTCCCGCGAGCAACATCATACCAAGTCTGAAAACCTAGACAAGGATCAACAGGGTATCCCTGTGGTGGTGGAGGTAACTCAAGATGCTCAGATATAGAAAGTGCAAGTCTTCGATCATACTCCTCCTATAAAAAAAAGTTAGATGTTATAATAATTTAAATAAGATGACTAAATAACATGTTATAAAAAGAAAGAAATAAAATGACTAAATTTTAGCAAAACTTACTTGAGTTTCCTTTGAGCGTTTATCGACAAACTCCCTATTTTTCTTGATATGAGTCTCTAGATGGATCTCATTAAGCATCAGAGTTCTATCCAACTCATCACGCTAATAAAATAAAACATATATAAGTGAAAAATAGTTTGTTTTAATCTAAATTTTAAATGAAAACTTAAGTAAAATAAATAAACTTACCAGCCTATGTGCAATTTCAGCAACACTAATACTTTCTGCTGCGTAGTTGCAGCCACCAACTTCAAATGCCTTGTTTTTTTTTCTTTTTCAAATGCTTGCTTAAAGGTTTCCGAATTCCAATGGTCAATAAGTTGCTTAAATACATCTTCACCTATCCAACAGGGACGTGTTCCTTTTTTTTCCCAATTAAGTCGAACACGTCTAAGTGTGTCGGATAATCGAGCAGCACATTTTGTATCAAAATTTTCTCTTACTTGTTGCTGCTCTGTAAAGTCCCAAACACATTTCTCCTACATTGTTTTATGAATTTTAAATAATTAAATAATGTTAAATCATGAAATAAACTAAATATATATGAAATTAAAATAATAATTCTTTTATACCTGAAATAAACTAAACCAATCTTCCTTTTCGGTTTCGAGAAGTGCTTCATATGTCGGCCAAAACTTTTTATACTTTTCTTTAATAACTTCATTTATACATGATACTGTCTGGTGTGATGGTATAAGGCTAACCAAAAAAATCTTGAGTTAGTATTTACATTAAAAAAAAAACTCAAATTTAAATTTAAAATAAATAAGATATAAAACATAGCTTCCTCCATCGCAACGAATGACATATCTGCCCTTGTATTTCCTAATTGTTTGCGGCTTTGCATTTCTCAAAATGCATGCCCTCCTTCGCTCTTCGTGAGAACTATCAAGAGCACTAGTATCTCCATGATCATAAGAACTCGTACCTCCATGACCATGAGCACTAGTATCATCCTCATCATCCTGCTCATCATGTGTAGAATGCACAGGTGTTGAATGTGGCATGCCAGATCCACCAGTCTCCGTATATGGCATAGAGTACTGCATGGAAGGCATCAGAACGCTAGGCCCGCTTGAATTCATAGAAGACATGGAAAATATGCGGGATGCGGGGTACTGGGATGCATAATAGGTGCATATCCAGGAGGACTAATAAAGGCCGGCGCAGATATCGGTGGGAATGAAGGAAAATCAGGTGTGGATAGTAATCCGGTGAAAGATCCGCCAGACATGGGTGAAGTCTGCACAGGCGGTGGAGTAGGGTGCACATGAAATGGAGTAGGATGCACCTGACTCGAAAGTGGCATAGGAATAAACATAGACGAATCTGGAACCTCTTCTATAACGAACCTTGTGCGGCGAGCCTTACCCTTACCCTTTTCCTCACTACGGGGTGGCATTTTTAAACTAAAATATTTCATAAAATGACAAAAGTAAATTAATTCAAGCAATCACACAAAAGTATTATATATAACAATACATATTACATAGTAGTATTATTACATAATAGTATAAATACATAATACATATTATTTAATTTATTCATCATTGTAATCGTCACTGTCTTCATCAGATACTATATTGTCGTCTTCAGAGTCTCCTAACTCTTCTTCCTCTTCCTCCACATGATTTGCTGATAACAAGATGGTTGCATCAACTTGTTAACCCACAACCATATTATCACCCAAACTTGTAATCTCCTCAATTTCAATTACCCCATTCACTGGTGAAATCTCATCATCTTGGTATGCAACATCATCTTCCATTACACCGTCAAATTCAATATAACCCATTGGATTGGACTTGATTACAACACACCATCCTCATTTACTTGGTTGAATTGAAGGATAAGGAACATAGTAAACTTGCTTAACATTATGTGCCATTATGAAAGGGTCATACTCTTTGTACTTTCGATCCATTCGTATCTCAACAGTGTTATATTTGTTATCTATTTTAGTTCCTCTGGAAGATGGATCATACCAATCACAATAAAATAGGACAAATTTATTTTCCGAGTCCATATAATTATATACCAACTCATAAATATGTGTGATAACACCATAAAAGTCGTCCTCACCACCCTTTGTTACTCCTTTTACAACTACACTACTGTTTATTGTTTTCTTCCCTTCTGTCCATGTTTGAGTGTGGAATTTATATCCGTTTACAAAGTATGTGTGCCATTCATTTGCACGCTGATGAGGACCTTCAGATAAACTTCTCAAATGAATTATTTCAGGACTTGGTGCAACAATGCAATATAATTGTTGCTTGAACCATGCTGGAAAATAGGCATGTGTGTAACCTGTCGATGGTTGTTCACCCGTGCTTTGAAAATAATAAGTATTAAATGCCCTATTTCGAAGTAGAAAAAAGCTATGTTAAACAAATATATTTAACAAAAAGAAATACAAACTTAATTTAATATACTTACTCAAGATATGGTTTAACTTCAATGCAGTTAATCAACACATGAACATGAGCAGATTGCATTTCTTTTTCAGACAACCAATGCACACTTGTGTTTCCAGAAGGACGAATGGGACGACCAAAAACCGATAAGGTGAATTGACTTCTTTCACTAAAGTGAACTTCATTCCTTATGATTCTCGGAGTCAACATCATATGATTGAAATAATGCGAGCAAAAATGTGAAGTTTCTCGATGTAAATAATGTGCACATATTGATCCCTCAACTCTCGCCTTATTTTTCACAGATCGCTTTGAATCACCCATGAATCATTCAAATGGATACATCCATCTATATTAAACAGGTCCACCAAGGTAAGCTTTGTAAGCAAGATGCATAGGGAGATTCTCCATAGAATCAAAGAAACCTGGGGGAAATATTTGCTCTAACTTACAGAGAATGATGGGAATATTTTGGTCAAACTTAAAGATGTCATCCACTCGTAAAGTTGACGCACAAATGTCTTTAAAATATTGACTAATCTCAATTAGTGGATTAAGAAAATGCTTAGGAAGTGAACTGAATGCAATTGGAAGCAATCATTCCATGAAAATATGACAATCATGACTTTTCATTCCATGCAGCTTTCCTGTTTTTGCATCAGCACATCTTGCTAAGTTAGAAGAATAACCATCGGGCATCCTCAACTCATTTAACCATCGACATACTGCTTTTTCTTCTTGGGGAGTAAGAGTGTAACAAGCCTTGGGTTTTAATAATTTTCCATTTGGTTGGGGTTTTAACTCCAAGTCTTTTCGATTACACAAAAGTTCCAAGTCCTTTCTAGCCTTCTCATTATTTTTTGTCTTACCTTGGACATCCATCACTGTGTTAAATACATTATCAAAAAAATTCTTCTCAATATGCATAACATCAAGATTATGTCGCAACAAATTATCCTTCCAATATGGGAGGTCCCAAAAAATACTTCTTTTTGTCCAATTGTGAGTATCCCCATATCCTGGAATTCTGCATGTTTTACCATTATCTGTGAATTTTGGTAGGTCACTAACACTATTCCATACTTCAGTCGATGACAATCGAGGGGGAGGAAGATCTGTTACTTTTATTCCTTTTCTAAAAGCATTCTTATTTTTTCTAAAAACATGGTTCATAGGTAAGAATCTACGGTGACAGTCAAACCATGAACTTTTACCACCCATTTGCAAAGTAAACGCTTTTGTATATCCCATGCAATGTGGACATCCTATTTTGCCATGCGTACCCCAACCAGACAACATGCCATATGCAGGAAAGTCATTAATTGTCCACATCAAGGCAGCTCGCATATTAAAGTTTTGCCTGCGAGACACATCATAAGTCCATTCTCCAATCCACAACCTCTTCAAATCATCAATTAAAGGTTGCAAATAAACATCTATTCCTGCTTTTGGACTCGACGGTCCTGGAATGAGGCATGTCAAAAACATGTAAGGTTTCGTCATGCACATCTCGGGAGGGATATCGTATAGGGTAACAATAACTAGCCAACAAGAATAGGCAATTGTTGACGATTGGATATAAGGAGTAAAACCATCTGAACATAACCCGAGCCTGACATTTCTGGGTTCTGCTGTAAAATCTGTATGTACTCTATCAAAGTGTTTCCATGTCTCGCCATCAGATGGATGTCGCATCATGCCTGAACTATTGGAATTTGTACGATGCCATGTCATTTGGCTTGCACTATGAATTGACGCAAACATCCTTTGCAATCTAGGAATTATTGGCAGATAGAACATGGACTTCACTGCAACTCGTTTTTGTTTTCGATCAACACCTTTACTGTGAGCTAAATACCTCGGACTCTGACAAAACTTACATTCCTCCAATCCCCCATCATTTGTACCAAACTCGTTATCATAAAACAACATACAACCTCCTATGCAACAATCAATCTTTTTCACTTTAGTCCCAACTTCGACACCATTCTCTTCGCATCATAATAACTTGTAGGCATGTTATCTTTCACAAGAGTCGCATCCAACATCATTTTTGCAAAGAATTCTAAACACTGACCAGGAACATTCCAATTTGACTTCGCGGCCAAGAGTCTCACACACATGGATAACATGGAGTCAGAAGACCCCTCAAACAGTGGTATATTTATTTCTTTCAACAGTTAATAAAACTTTTGTGCTTCCTCGTTTGGGAGCTCATCTGCATCAAAATCTTAAGGTTCATCATAAGTCACATTCACCCCTAATGCATCACCAACCATATCATCTATGAGATTAAATTGTTCCCGGTCTTGCAAATGTGATTGACTGCTTGATGTCTCTCTGCCTATCTCAACTCCAATATGTGTTTGACTGCTTGAAGCCTCTCTATTCATCTCTGGCAGTATTTCTCCATTAGAATACCACACCCAATAATTTGGCCTAAAACCATCTTTCTCCAAATGCCGTTTCACTTCATTTGGGTCACTAATTATATTTCTGCAACCACACTTCAAACACGGACATCTTACCCCTCCTTCGCTTCGACAACATTCTTGAGCAAACGCATAAGCAAGAAATGCAACAACTCCTTCTTTAAAATGTGGTTTAAGCTCACGTTTTCCTGGATACGTTCTATCATACATCCAACTACGATAGAACTGGTAATATTCCATACAACACATATATAATGTTGTTCATGTTTAAATTTATATTTAAGAAAAGAGAAATTGATCTACCTACAAACTTATAACTATTGACCTAACTAATATATCATATTCTGTTTATAATAAAATTTATTTATAATAAATTTAAATAAATAATTTGTTTATAATATATGTTTTAAGGACTAAAGAAGAACGTCAAATTAAGTTAAGGAATTTGATAACTATTATGCTTAAATTTTAACAAAATTAGAATGTTAAAATTTTTTAGGAATTATTTTAATTATTATTTTACTAAACTAAACAAAAATATATGAGCTAATTTTATATATAATGGAGTGCGCTTTTTGATTGTAAAATATCTTATTATAAACTTTTTAGTAATTAATTTAAAATGGCATATTTATAGATTTATTTGACATGTATTTAAAATAGTCAGTGTTATGTTTATTAAAAATATTCGTTAGATTTTATATAAATGTTTTAAGTTGTAAATAACAACGTATGGAAGGCTGAGGATTGATACGTTGTAAATAATATGGAAGACTGGGGATTGATAAATACATGAAAGCAACATAAATACACACATAAATATAATACTAATATTAATACTTATATTTTAATATACTAATACTAATAAACATAATACTAATATTTTAATAAAATCTGTTTTAATATACTAATATTAATAAATATTCTGTTTTAATAAATATAATATATGTTAATAAATATAATACTAATATTAATATTTTGTTTTATAATATAATATTAATATTCTATTTTATAATATAATATAAATATATATACTGTTCTATAATATACTAATACTAATAAATATAATACTAATATTTTAACTAAAATTTGTTTTATAATTAAATATATATACTTTTTTAATTAAATAATGTATAATACTAATATTTACTGTTTTATATAATAATATATATACTGTTTTAATACTATTTAATTAATATTTACTGTTTTAATTAATATTATTTAATACTATTTAATACTGTTTTAATACTATTTAATTAATATATACTGTTTTAATTAAGTAATATATAATACTAATATTTACTGTTTTATATAATAATATATATACTGTTTTAATTAAGTAATATATAATACTAATATTTACTGTTTTATATAATCATATATATACTGTTTTAATACTATTTAATTAATATTTACTGTTTTAATTAATATTATTTAATACTGTTTTAATACTATTTAATTAATATATACTGTTTTAATTAAGTAATATACAATACTAATATTTACTGTTTTATATAATAATATATATACTGTTTTAATATTATTTAATTAATATTTACTGTTTTAATACTAATATTTTAATAAACATAATACTAATATGTTTTAATATGTTTATAAAATATTCTGTTTTATAATATATATTAATAAATATAATAATAATATTAAAATTCTGTTTTATAATATAATATATACTGTTTTATAATAGTTTATAAATATAAATATATATATATATATATATATATATATATATATATATATATATATATATATATATATATATATATATATAATGTTTTATAATATACTAATACTAATAAATATAATACTAACATTTTAATTAAAATCTGTTTATTAATATTCTAATACTAATAAATATAATATTAATATTTTAATAAAATCTGTTTATTAATATACTAATACTAATAAATATAATACTAATATTTTAATAAATATAAATATTCTGTTTTACTGAATATAATATACGTTAATAAATATAATACTGTTTTAATAAAATCTGTTTTATAATATATATACTGTTTTAATTAAATAATATATAATACTAATATTTTTATAACAATATATTAAAATATATTTTATAATATAAATATTAAAATCTGTTTTATAACAATATAATATAAATATTAAATTCTGTTTCAAAATATACATAAATATTAATATGTGGAAAAAAAAATTTACATTAATATTTTTCGAAATATACATAAACATATTTTCTTTACAAATTTTTTATAACACCAATCAACAGACCAATTTTTTCAACAGCCACCAACATACATAAACATAGATTTCAAAATCAAAATGTATATAACATCTTAAAAAAAAACAGAAGTTGTGTACCTTTAGATGTTCTCCAAATTTGTAGTTCCTCTTTACTTAGATTGCTTTATATATCATCCACAGTGCAACACAACAAATAAAAAATATTAATTAATCAATCTAAACAATACAATAAATCATAAATACGAAAATAATATAAAATAAAAAAAACAACAACTCACTTCTAAGGATCAAAATGGATAGAATATTGAAGGATTGAAGAAAACTCAGAGAAGATACATTGAGAAGATGAAATGGAGAAGAAAGAGAAGAAAATGTAACTTAATACGTTTGGAAATTGGTTGGGCATTTAATGGTGCATTTTGCGAGGGGGGCCTTCACGCAAGTCCCAACGGACAAATGACGTGGCGTCATTTGCGAGGGGTCCCTCCACGCAATTATTTAATGTGATATTTGCGAGGGGTTGCCCCTAGCCACTGTTGGCGTGTGGCAGACAACTTGGCGGAGGAATAAACACCTTTTCAGACGGATTTGACTAAAGTAGCACCATTGGTGAGGGGATACCCCTCGCAAATTGTACACCGTGACGTGGTGAGGGGCTACCCCGTCGCAAATACTCAACCTTTCCCACCTATTTCCCTCTGAACCCTAGTAAAAATATTTTTCAAATTTCAAAAAAGTTTTCCCCCCTTGTTTGCGAGGGGTATCCCCTAGCTACATGTTTTTAATTTATTTTCCCTCTGTTTTGTGTTTTGCGAGGGGTTTAACCCCAAGCAAATACATTTAATTTAGTGAGGGGTTTTCCCCTAGCCCACGCCCCTAGCTAATTCAGGGTTTTCTTGTAGTGAGTGTTGTTGTTGTTGATACGGTGGTTGTTGTTGTTGTCTCGGTTGGTAGTCTCGTTGGTTAGCCATGTAATTCACATCTTCGAACCCCGAAGGTGGACAAAATCCAGTGTCATGTTCACCCTTGCAAAGCTCACAACAAGCTATTTGTTTAGCTTTTGAAGGCTCTTTCAACTCTTTAATTTGTTGAGTTAAGAGTTCAACTTGTTGAGAAATGAGTTTATTTTGGGCAAGAATAACATCGTTTGTCCCAAGTTCAAGCACGCCCGATTTCTTTAAGGCGTTTTCTCTACTTTGACTTTGGAGATCATTTAGAGCCATACGGTTAATGATATTTGTAGCTTCAACGCGCTTTTGGACAATAAAGAACCACCGGAGGTAGCATCCAATAAAGTCTTGCTATTTGGTTGAAGACCGTTTTTGAAAATATGGATTTGCGTCAATTCGTCAAAACCATGGCCTTTGCACTTCCGAAGTATGGATTTAAATCTTTCCCATGCCTCATTCAATGATTTGTTGGCTCCTTGCGAAAACACGGAGATTGCCGTTTTGGATTCCATGAACCGGTTGTGAGAGAAAAACCTTTCAATGAATTTCTCCTCCAACGCGTTCCAATCCGTCATGATCGCCAGTGTTTGATCCAAGTACCAATCTTTGGCTTTGCCGAGCAAAGCATGGGGAAAAAGTCTTTTGAACAACGGTAGCTCTTGAGCTTGATCAACTCCGGCCGCCAATGCTATCTCGTAAAATTTGGTGAGAAAAGAAAAGGGGTCTTCATGGTCCATTCCGGTGAATGGACTACCATATAACAAGTTGAGAGTTCCCGTCTTCATCTCGGCTTGCCTTCCCGTGTGGCTGGCAAACTGAGCAGTATTTCTCGGACTATTGACACATGGTGTGGAAACGAATGGTGGTGGCGGTGGATCCGCCATAGGTGTAAAATGAGGTGGTGGTGGTGTTGTAGAAGAAATTTCTCCTTGTTCTTGTCGTTATCTAGCTTGTTGCTTCCTTCGCCTTATTCTGCTATTCAGTCTCCTTGCGGTTCTTTCGATCTCGGGATCAAAAAGAATTTGGTCCTCAGGAATCTTCCATCACATAAAACGAAAGCTGCACACTAAACCAAACAAATTAACAAGCACAAGTCAAAAATTCACAAGTTAAACATTCGGCAACTATTGCGATGCTCGCAATATCAATTCATATTCCCCGGCAACGGCGCCATTTTGTTAGAACAATGATAGAGTATCGGGTTTTTGTTATCGTCTCCACAAGGAATAGAAGATATTGCTGCCGTTCGACAGTTGTCAAGTTCTTAACTTTATAGTAACAAAAGGGGTTTAGTTTTTTTTACGGTAGCTTGCATAAAAGTAAGAATTTACGGTAAAAGATTGGTTTTACGATTTAATAAAGATTGTCAAAGTTAGGGTTTGGCAATCACTTTGCATGTATATGTTCGATCAACAAAACACATAAACTCCTTTAGATGATAAACACATTCACAATATCCTCCCAATGTGATTATTTCTAACTCACATTGTGATTTTTCCCATTTTGATCCATCGTTGATTTCTTACACAATCTATCAAAATGACAACATTTAGGTTTAACATTTTCATGAACAACCACATTCAAAACTATTTCTAGCTTAAGAAAATAGATGGATGAAAACCTAGGTTAAGAGTTGGAAAACATCTTTCAATCATAAATCAACACAAAGAGTTATAAATAAAGCAAGGTTTTCACCATATATTCATCATCAAAGAGTTTACAAATGAAGATCATCCCATATACATACACAGCTTAATGATCACCTACATCTAACCTTGACAAAATAGAGAACTTAGCTACTCATTTCCATGGTAGCTTGAACAAGAAGAAAATGGAGAAGATGAAAGAACATCCACGTCGAAGAATCGAAAAAGGATGTGATTCCACTTCTCTTGATTACACAATGAGCAAAAAGCAGAAAAACTACTGTTTTTGGAGTTGTAGAACTAGGTTCTTATGTTACAAGATGATACCAAAAGAGAGTGTATGTTATGATCCCTATAAAGCAATATATAAAGTACAAAAGAAGCTCTATTTGCGCCCATTCGCCAG